CAGTACACACAATACCTCTTGTGTTTCCCGGGGGGGGGGGGGGCTCACTCGTGACCCTGCATCGGTGTGTGAGAAGGCAGTGAACATGCAGTGGAATGGCGGGATCTACGGAGTCACACACCCTGCTGCACTGGTTTCCCCTCCAGTGCTGGTGGGCATCATACACTTATAACAACTTAACGCAGTATGTCCTCACTTGTGTCATAGGTATACATATGGTCTCTTAATAGGCAGCTTGTTCAGTTACCATCTTCAAACTGAAAGATCGAGCGCCACTTTCAGTTCTCTGGGGAACAGTTTGCAAAACCTGTTTATATGTTGAAGAAGATGCGATAGATTATTGGAATCACTTGATGGGAATTGGTGGGAATTTCGGCGAGTTTGCCACATGGCACTCACCAGATGATGGGCCTGCTTTAGCGTTTAGTTTACCTGGGGTGTTTGATCCCCATCCTGATGTTTGACATGGGGGGTGGGGTCACGGGAGCCATTCAGTAAATGGAGTTAACAGCTGTAGTTGTGAGGCTTGGGGGTGTGTGTGTGTGTGTGTGTGCGCGTGTGCGTGTGTGTGTTTGCATAATTGACAATGACCTAATTCTGTGTGTTTGTTTTTTTGCTCCTCTCTCCTCAGGAAGCGATAAAGTCATTGATGTAATTGATGTGGCCAGGCAGGCGGACAGCAAAATAAAACTTGGCGAGTTTGTCAAGTATTACTACAAACCACATCGGCCGAAAGTGTTAAATGTCATCAGCCTCGAATTCTCCGACACAAAGTGAGTGCGGCGTCCGGCTGGCTCCCCCAGGTCTAACACATCTTCACCACCGTTGCTATGGGGATGTCAATGGCTTTGGTTTGATTCGGTATCAGTTGTACAATAATGAAACTCGTGCCACACAATATGGGGCTCAGAGTTTTGACAAGAACAGTGATGTAATGCATGATGTAATGTGGAAGCCTGGCACACAGACTGTGGGATTTAGATGATGGCACAATAAATGGCCACCAGGTATATGGATGTAGAAGGCAGCTGCCTGGCAGTTAACCTTCAGCTGTGGTTTTTCATCTTGGCCAGGATGGCAGAGCTGGTGGAGGTGCCCTTCATTGCTCAGAAGATGTCCTGGGTGGAGAATTACTGGCCTGATGACTCCTACTTCCCCAAGCCCTTTGTGCAGAAGTACTGCCTGATGGGTGTGAAGGACAGCTACACGGACTTCCACATTGACTTCGGGGGCACGTCCGTGTGGTACCACGTACTCTGGGTAAGGGCTCTGCCTGGCGCCCAATGAACAGTTAACAGTAGAGGTGTTATGTGGTGACCCAGTTCCGGTCCGAGCACTAATCCACATCCAGCATGCGATTGTTAGTACTAAAGCAGCAGCCTGCAGCCTGTGATCCCGAGTTCTGCCTCCGTACTAACCCTAACCCTAACCCTAACCATGCCTGCCGTGGGGCAGTTCCCTTTCTAGTGCTCATCCCTCCTTCTGTTTACCTCCATAGGGTGAAAAGATTTTTTACTTGATCAAGCCGACCCAGGCGAACCTTGCACTGTATGAGGAGTGGAGCTCGTCCCCTAACCAGAGCGAGGTGTTCTTCGGCGAAAAGGTGGACAAGTGCTACAAGTGCGTCGTGCGGCAGGGCACCACCCTTCTGATTCCCACAGGTAGGGGGTGCCGGCCCAAACTTATCATTCACCAATGATTTGTTTTGAATTGGTGACAGGGGAGGAGACACATAGGGACCAATCAGCTTTCAACTATGGCTCTGTGGCCCCGCCCTTGCATATTTCCGCCTATACCTATGATCAGAAACTCCCTTTCTGCTGTGTTATTGTTCTGCTGAACTGACAAGTACCTGTTTATACAACTGAATATTTTACTGCAGACCAGCAAATTGCATACTCACATCTGCTTCTGTTGTCCTGGCATGTGCTCTGCCTCTCTTAGAGGAGGGGTGTCGGGACACTTTGTACAAAGGTAATTTTCCACGTGTGGAATGGCTTTCCTTTGGATTAGCGTGGGAAGGTCTGGTTGAACTCTTCTCTGTGTGGATCAGTGGCAAAAAACACACATTCTTCCATCCTGTCATTAAACAAGGGAACTTCCTGCCTCTGCTTCTGAAATCCCGTCCAATGGCACGCCGTCGCCATACCAGCTCTCCTGGTTCGTTTTTGACACTGAGCCATAAATGATTCCAGGCTGATTTGAAAGCCCTGTCATCAGCCAGTTTGGTGGAACGGGACGGTCTGGGCACCTGCTGCGATTAACACGCCAGCGTTAGCGTGCCGATATCCGAGATTTATGTGAGTTTCTATGGATTCTGCATTGCTCAGCTGCTGCCGGTAGGGCCGGGGTGTTCAGGCCCATGCACCCCCACTAGGAAACCCCGCTCTGGCATGGTCCCCCCGCTCAGGGTCACCGCAGAGGTCCCACACCTGCTGCTCATGTGCAGGAATTCTAGCTCTTTCCTCAGGCTAAAAGTAAAAGATATAGGGTTGCACTGAGTACCCTGGAGAGGCTGTATTCAGGACGTGTCCTGATATTGCAGGTTTAGCAGTAAATTCTGCTTATCTATATGGGTGTTTATGACCTGCAGAGTTCTGGAATTTCATGCCCCACCATCAAGATTCTTCGCTGTTTCTCCTTCAGGGGCACCTGTGTAGAAGAGGTTTCGGCCATCTGGCAGCTGTCATTGATTTCCTGTGATATTAGTGCCTCCCCCCAGCTTGTAGCTGGTTATGCTCCTCGGGGAGAGGGTGGCTTTGTCCCAGATGACCAGCCCCTCTAACCTGTGGCCGGGGGTGTGACACAGCCCCTGCATGCGTTTCTGAGCGCCAGAGGGTGATGACGTGATGTCGCTGTCCGCAGGGTGGATCCACGCTGTCCTCACCTCTCAGGATTGCATGGCGTTTGGCGGGAACTTCCTGCACAACCTTAACATAGGCATGCAGCTCAGGTAGGAATCCTCCGTGCGAGCCGGTGAACTGCATGGAGCGCAGCCCCGCCTCCTCCACGTGTGACCTCACTTCCTCCTCACGCCAGGTGTTATGAGATGGAGCGACGGCTGAAGACTCCCGACCTCTTCAAATTTCCCTATTTCGAGGCCATCTGCTGGTACGTGGGCAAGAATCTGCTGGAAACCCTTAAAGGTGAGGAGAAACTACAGGACCAACTCCAGCTCACATCTGGTCGTTCGCATTACTTGAACCTAAACATGTTATTCTTTTTTTTTTTTTTTTAAACCAGAATCCCGAGAGGACAAATGCCAACCCCCCGCTTATCTGCTGGAGGGAGTTAAAGCTTTAATCCCCACGCTTAAGAGGTGGTTAAACAGGGAGGTGAGGCACCCGGTGGCCAGCAGGTGTCAGCAAACACACTGGTTTTGCCCGTAATGAACTGCAGCACACAGACCCCTCACTGTCTCCCCAGGTCACTGAACCCACCAGCGAGGTTCCAGATAATATCAGGCCCAACCATCTTATTAAGGAGCTCACAAAGGAGATCCGGTACCAGGAGGTAAGCTCAGACGGATTGGGGGGGGGGGGAAGCTTGATTATGTACCCTTTCCCTCTCTTTACCTCTTCAAATTCCTGCATTTTGATATTCAGCACTGTGCAAGACTCTTAGGCAGTCAAAAAAAATGTTTAAATGATCTTTATGTTGGTCTCCCCAGTACAGGCAGGATTTTACAGTAATAGTAATATCAAAAGTAACTACATATGGTGCTGTACTGTACTGTACCCCGCTGATGAAGCGCTGAAGTCGTGCAGTGACTTTTTTTGAAAATAGTTTTTTATTTGTTTTTTTTTAATTGTTACTGATCACTTGCAAATCTTTTAAAGCTAAATTGTATATATTTTTTCTGCGTAAATATACATTTACTACCCAGATAAACAGCCTTCAGCATTTTCATTTGACTGGCGTAGACTTGCCCAGCGTCCGATGTGCGCCTTTCACAGAAGAAGCTGTCCACCCCAGGCTCCCACCTTTGATCTCCTGCTTTTCCTCCCAGGAGGAGCAGAGTGGCAAGGTGGTCAGACCTCAGGGAGGCGGGGCTTGTCCCACGACCCGTTCCACAATGGAGCGAGGCTGCCGGGTGCGGCGGAAAGCACGGCGTCTCCGAGAACAGCAGGCCTCCAGGACTCCATCCAACTTGGATGTGCTGGAGCTTCACACGCGGGAGGTTCTGCGGAGACTGGAGGTGGTGCCCTTCCAGGAGGTGGGTCACACAGCTAATCGGCTTCTTGAAGGGAGGGTGGGCAGCAAATCAGTCGCCCCTTTTTGGCTAATGACCCTGCCTCCCCCCCCC